CTGGAGCCGTTTGATGAGATATTTTCCTTTCCTTGCTCAATTAGATTCTTAAAATCCCTTAAAACTGATCCATGCCATTGCTGTGAATGACAGACATGCACATTACTGTTCCCATCATGAATTACCAGTAGCACTGCAGTTGCTCAAATGTGCAATTTTTAATAACGACAGTTAATAACAACCACAAAAACAAAGTTATCTCCTTGGTTATTGCTGTTATCTTCTTGTGGTTATTGCTGTTATCTTCTCTCTGGTGTGCATTAGCCTGAGCTGTTGGGGTGTGGGGTGCACAGATAACAGATGCAGGTTCTGGAGCACAGGATCCACTCAGGCACAGAAAATAGTCTTAGATCTGAAAAACGCTAAGGGCAGGGATTCCATTTTATTCTCATGTCTGTAAAGTGCCTATATAATGTTGATTTTAAAAAGCCATAATTAGAGAAACTGGTATTATTTTCTTTGGTATAAATTCAGCTGTATTTTAAACCAGACCATAATAAGTATGCAACATTCTCAGAATTTTTAAAATTTAAAATTTTTTGCCCTATCATTTCTACAAGTAATTCTTGTATCTGAGCATCTAATTGCACATTTTTAGCTGTGCTGGCTAGCTGTCCTGGAGTATTAAGGTAATTGTGTATCTTGTGCCCTCTATTATATGGATATACTCTTCTCATTTTTAATGAAAGTACTAATGATTTTACTTTAATTTCTATTAATGTATATAATTTCCTACAGGGGAAATTTCCTACAGGGTGTTTAACCTGCAATTTAATTTCCACAAAATTATCAAGATTCTTACAGAGATAGCACACTTGCCACGTACAGTTTAGGACAAATACTACAATTGTCATCCTCCCTTTTACTATAAAGCCTATTAGTTTTACTCTGGCATGTCTTTTTTCCACTTAAGATCATTGTTTGGTGAATGGAGAGGTTGTAGCACAGAAATCAGCTCTGTTTTTAAGGCACTGATCCTCAATTTTGTAAGTGGAATGCCCACAAAGCACAAATTGCTCTTTGGGTTCTCTGTGGATGCTGCGATTGCTGCTGGYGAATCCCCCAAATCCTCAGCAGGTCACAGCACGTGTCTCCTGACCCYGTGGGAGCTGCATTGGTTGTGTCTGATGCACCACGCAGTCTGGGATTTATAACAGAGCATCACTTACCTCCTGTTAACCCTCAGCTAACAAGAAATTCAGAAAGGGATTGGCTTTAAAGAYGTTAAAAGATTGCAGTTATGTGTGGTCTAAGCTGCTCTCCCAGCAAATTAACACATTAACAAAAACCCAAACATGAAGCTTTTAATTCATCTTGTAATGCACCATCTTCATCTGGGCTATTGGTTATTGACTCCTATTGCCTTACAAACTCACTTGAAAAAACAGGAAAGTAGACCCTCCAAAATGTATCAGCTTAGTGCCATCAAAATTGAATGACACAAGTTGTTTTGTAGCAGGATGGCATTTTGGAGCTGGCATCATAATGCCACGAAAGCTTGCTGCTTGGCAAGCCCTGTGGGAACACATGAGCAGTGCTTCCAGAGATATAAATAGTGTCTCTTAATCCTTGCATTGATCTTCAGGAGCTTGCTGAAGGTTCAGCTACCTACATTTGTTCAGATTACCGTAATTGTGATTTGAAATTAAGACGACTATGTCTCAATAGAATGTTAAATCCTACAAGTAGTCATSATTTAATGGGCAGTTATTAAAGATGAGAGCTGTTTCTCAGGCTAAATGTTGACACAAAGACCTAATGGCTAGTTGGTCTCCTACCGTGTAGCTGACCATGAATAAATATGTATTTTTATGTTCTCCATAGGATTGTTTTGCTGGCACACTGACCTTCTCAGTCCAGTACTGATCTGCCACATCAAGTACAGCCACTGGAGAGAAACACCGTCCATGTTACAAGTACTGATGAATTTTCTGATCAAGAAACCAGCAAACATCAGCCCRAGCGTGTTCCTGGTGAGCTGAGCACTGCCAGCTGAGGGGCACACAAGGGAAAAAGGCTTCTTGCTGTGCTCAGGGCTCCCAGATCCCAGGGGAATCTGGAATGTGGCCTAAGGCTGCTACTTGTGATTTGACAGAGCTGGGTTGCCTGTTTTAATGTGCATTTACACAGAAATTGTGTGGCTTCTGACACAAGAATGTTACGGTGTGGTCAAGGATCACCACTTTTGGCACTGTGCTGCTGAAGGGACTATCTCTCAGATGAAACATAGGATCAGAACTCTAGGAATCTGTGCTTGTCAATAAATACGATCCTCTGAAAATTTCTGCATGGGAAGGAGGCTCAGTTTTCATGCTTTCATTAGTCCATTTTGCTTTCCTAAGATTCACTGCAGTTTGTGTTGGATATATGTACTTTTCAATCTTATTCTGACATCTAATATTGCTGAGTAGTTAAATAGTTGTTTGATTTTCCACAAGTCATGGCATCCACATATCTTATGATGATGGGAGGTTACACTTATTCTGGTGACAGCAGCCTATCAACAATGCTTTCATGTAACACTTTGATTAGTAATCATGTTKTTAAAGACACTCTATTCCTACCTTCGTTTTTATATCACTGTTTTGGTACATGTGAATAGAGGGTGGTGTTACAAGCAGTTGAAGCTGAAGTTCTTCTTTCCCCTTCCTCGCCCACAAGAACACTTAGAGTTGTCAAAAAATGCTTGTGTTAGTTTTTGAGGACTCCTGGTTTTCAAGTGAGGGTGTTGTTTGWTCAGTAAGATTGTTTGCTCTTTGATTTAATTTCTGACTTAAGCCTAATTCTGAACTATTTGCCTTTGGGGAAGTTGGTCAGCAGTTTTGGGCTGTGCCAACCTAGCAAGTTTTCCTTTTTCTCTAGAATTGGTTTCAACTGTAAAAATAAAGTCAACAAGAGTGCTGTTGGTTTTATTTTCTTCCGAAAGCCTGAAATAGAAGCCAGGATATTTTGGCACAGAGAAGGAAGGCCAGAGTTAGAAGGAACTGTAGCTAGAAAAAGAAGATTTCTGATARGGAAAGTGTGGCATATCAGAACCCACATGTTCAGCACTATCATGAGTGGACTTGGGAGCCTCCTCTGTTGGACATGGAAAGGAATGATGGAGCTGGAAGGCTCACTACTGTTTCTTTCAAAGGGTGAGAGATGAAAATGAAAGGGAAAAGCATGCCCTTTGGAACAAACACTTCAAATATCTCATTTCAGGGGTCTCTTCTGCTACCAGATGCTCAAAATTGTTTTTCTAATCTAAAGTGGATAGATCTCAACACAATAGACTCGAGCAATGCACCTGCACAGTTGAGTTGCTATGTGATTACCACAGGATGTGCCTTGACATTTTCTACTCAGAAGTTTAAATAGGAGTTGAGGAACAAGCTGGATGCAAATCAGAGCTGGAATATGCTGGCAGAGCGGTAAGGAAGAAGTTTCCCATACAGTGTTGACTTTGGAGACACAGGAACTGAGAAGGGAAGCTTGAGACATGAATCTCAAGACTGCACTGTGGCAGCTGCATACAAATAAGCAGCCTATACATTTGAGAGCTTGAGAAGTAAACCGGCTGTGCATTGAAAGGTAGGCATTTGGAGGTGGTAAATTTAGCCCTGACTCATCCAATGGCAATTTTGACACTTGGGTGGACTAAATTACTTTTAGGAGTTGCATCATGTTTTTACCAGATAGTTTGATTGAGCATAGTTTAACCCATTTGTGTACCTATGGCCAGATTCTGGATCTTTCTCACTTGAAATAACTGCACAAGAATTGGTATGTGATAGATGGGACATGGATACATTCTGGGTCATCAAGTTCCTTTCTGTGAGAGGTATTATATCACTTAGTCTATTGCTTAAACGTGCCAAATGATTCTAAAAGACTTGGAAGACCCTTTACTGCTCAAAGCTGTTTCTGAAAACTAGTGACAATTTCTTCACAGCTTCGTCCTTCCAATTAAAGAGTTCTTTCCTCTCGCTGGTGTTAACTCCTCAAGTATTTACAGACAGCAGTCTAAGCCAAGCTGTTCAGCCTTTCCTGACAGACAGGTGCCCTGTTTCCTCAGCCACCTTAGCAGTCATCCTTTGTGTCATTTCAACACGAAGGAATCTGAATTGCACCCATTATTGCAGAGGGTGCTTTTACAACGGTGTTAATTCTTCCAGAAAGAGCTTACCTGGCTCCCTAGAAGTGCATTTGCTGTTTTCTTCAGGCAACACATTCTCACTTGCCAATGTTCTGGAATTAAATGCTCTGTAATTTCTAGGAACAGCGGTTTTCATTTCTGTTTGCCTTGCACACAAGGCTCATTCCACCACGGACATTTTARTGTTGATATTGAGGCATAAACAAAGTTTGAAGCCAGAAAGAAAAGGCTGATGGATAAGGTCAAACATACTGAGCATATCTTCTGCTATTTCTTTTGTCATTCAAATGGAAAAGGTGATCTCACCATTTTTTTCAGTATTTTTAAAATGCTAATGTCCTTGTTCTTAATAACCCAGCTAAATATTGATGCAAAAGAGATGCATCATTTTTCACGGGTTTCTGAGGGAGCTCCGCATTAGCCGGACCAAGGGACCCTCTCTCCATTCACCACTCTGATGAGACCGGATGGTTTCGGGGGCCCCGCGCTCCGGCTGTCGCCTCCCCGGTCCCTGGCGGTGTCCCCAGCCCGCAGTGAGCCCGCGGCGGTCACGGCAGCCCCTCGGTCACCGGGGGAGCGTCCGTCCCGAGCGGGCAATCCCCGACCCCGGGGCCAGGGGGAGCGGGGCGAGCCCGGGGGGAGCGGGGCGAGCCCGGGGGGAGCGGGGCGAGCCCGGGGGGAGCGGGGCGAGTCCGGGGGGAGCGGGGCGAGCCCCAGGACGGGCGGAGGCGCTGCCCGAGCCGGCGGAGCGGAGCGGAGGAGCGCCGGGCGGCTCCGGTTTCCGAGGCGGATTTAACCTTTGCGGCGCGGGGCGGGCGGCGGGCACGGGCGAGGCGGTGCCTCGGGCACGGCGCTGGGCTGGGTTTGGTTGGGTCGGGTTTGGTTGGGCCGGGCTGGGCAGGGCCGGGGCGCTCCGGGGGCCGCCGCCTCCCGCCGCGGGGATGAGCGCCTCGGCGGCCACCGGCGTGTTCGTGCTCTCGCTCACCGCCATCCCCGTCACATACCTGTTCAACTGCCTGGCGGCCACCGGCAGGTGAGCGGGAGGGCCCCGGGGCTGCGGACGGGACGGGGCGAGCGGGACGGGACGGGACGGGACGGGCGGCGGAGCGGAGCTCGGAGCTCGGAGCGGGGCGCGGAGCGGAGCGGGGCGCGGGGCTCGGAGCAGAGCGGCGCTCGGAGCTCGGGCCGGTCTCCTCGCCGTTCCCGGCTCCTGCCCGCCGCCCCTGCCCACAGCCCAGCCGGGATGCGGCGAGCCCCCCGGGGGTTGTGGCGCTGCCGGTTCCCATCCCCGGAGCTCGGCCGTGCCGCCGGTACCGGGGAGCACCGCCCGCTCCCCGCTGGGACCCGCGGCCTCCCCCGGCTCCCGGTCCGGACATTSGCAAACAAAATCCAATTCTGTTTCAAAGCGAGTGTAAGAGCTCGGCAGCCCCGAGAGCTCCCGAGCCGCCGGTTCCCCGCAGGCACCCTCAGCCTGCGCGGGGCGCTGGGAATGAGCGCTCTGCCAAAACCCGCGATCCGCGATAAACCGCAGGTCTGGAAAAGGAAAGTCTTCCTTTCCTCATGGTAGAACCCACTTCACTTAAAGGTYTGTGTAGTGTTGGTGATCCCACAGCCAGGGGTGTTTTGCAACTTWACTGCACAAATATTTCTTTTTGTTTTTAGGGCTTTGCTACATTTGTTCCTTCCTCATTTTCCTCCTTCTGGCCAATAACTAATTGTTTTGYTTCTCATTGCTAGAGGAATGTCGAGTAATACGTGGTGACTTACTTGATTGACTGCCAATATTTATTTCAAATTTATATACTGCAGTGAAAAGTCACTGCAATATTAACAGCTGTAATGGTATGAAGAAATTCATCACTGGGAAAACAGACTATCAGAAGATTCAAAGCATAAAATAAATCAACAAGCTAGTACYGCTCATCCTGACTCAGAAAGTATGTGTGTATATTTTCTGAAATATTTGSTCTTGCAAATTCTTTGCAATAATTTTCAGTCAAGTTTCGCTACGGCTGATAYTGTCATAATTTGTTGGTACACAGCTTGTTTTCTTGACACAGGGTGGTACTATGTACAGAAAGATGTACCAGATATTTTTAGCTTATGCTTCTGGACTTTACCTAATTTTCCCCTTCATTTTTTTTTCCCTTGCACAAGGACAAAAGTGAAGACGGAGGAGGAGAATCTTGCCTTAAAGAGASTTAAATATAATTTACACACTTAGACCTATGAAACAATTTTGAACTGATTTTCCTAGCTCGCATTTTCTTGGAGAAGGAGACAAATTTGCTTTGTGCCAAAGATTTTTTGTACTTTTTGCCACTCTTTCCCTGCAGTTACATTAMAGCTCCATCTCCAGGAGCTGCCTTGTAGGGCTRGAGACATCCCTGGTAGTGCTTCCATAACTGACAGAGTGCCCCACACTGCTTCTCCTGTTCCCGGGGACTGATGGGTTTTATTTTTGAATGTGTAATTTCCTGAGTAGATAATTTATTGCTGATGTTAGACAAAATGTCCCYAGTGATCCTTTTTGGCCTTGAAAGCTCTGTGGGTTTGATCTTCATCTTTCATTGGCCTTTAGTTTTCYCATAGTTTCTGTTTATTTTTTCAGATACCAGTACGAAAACTGGTTTTACTCAGGCAAATCTAGATTTCTGGATATGTTGTTTATTTTTTCATTTTCTTTTTTTAGCTGATCACATGTGAAAAGRGAAGCACATAAATTCTGCAAAACTATAGGATGACTACTATGGCAGACTATGCAATAAACTTTAAAATCTGTATTTTAAACTATTAAAAGTTACTTTAGGGTATGTGCATTTGGGGACATCTGGCTGAAGATGCAAAATTCTGTCTGTTTCTCTGTCTTTGTTTTAAATTCTTCTTTCTTTTTTTTTGAACATGTGTTACAGTTCCTGGGTAATCGTTGCAGTTGGATTGCTGGTTCTGGTTCTCATTGCTCTGTCAGCTCGTGTTCTGGTCAAGAGAAAACCCCCCAAAGACCCTCTGTTTTACGGTACGTCCTGGTAAAGCTGAATGTGCTCTCACACCAGGGACTGGCTCACTCACAGGTTTGCTCTAGACTGCTGTGGCTCGTGCACTTTGCTTTGTTCACCTGCAGAAAAAAAAGTCCCATGTCCCTCTCTGCCTCCGTCCTGCTGTCCTTTCTCCTTTCCAAGTGATGACCACCTCAAGGCTGTAAACTCCACACGACCAAGGTTTTGAAAGGCTGCATGTTCCTTTCTGCAGACACTGACCTTCCATGGAGGCTGTGCCTTCAGCTCTACACAATTCTGCATTCCTCAGAAAAGCTTCCTGAGCTGTGCTGACCAACTCTAATAAAAAAAAAAACCCTGAGCTGTGTGGGGAAGTCATGGTGTGTGTTGAACACCTCAAAGCTGACACATCCAGCACAACAGATCTCTGCCTGACTGAATCAACTGAACTGTGAAGCAACTGTGTGATTCCAAGTATTTAATAATCTTTTTCCTTTGTCTTATTACAGTTTATGCTGTATTTGCCTTTACCAGTGTAGTGAATCTAATAATAGGACTGGAACAGGATGGAATTATTGATGGATTCATGACTCATTACTTGAGAGAGGTAAATAATTGTTTGGCTTATAATTGTAAATAAAATCTTCACTGTAAATAACTTGGTGTAATATTTGTCACAAAAAATAGCCACTTACACATTTAAAAGGGTCTTATTGAAAGCAATTGACCTGCTTTGTTATTGTTATGGATAAAACCCTCACTGTCTTGCAAACTACTGACTCATTCGGGAAAAATAACGTGGCTTTCAAGCTCCATTGTTGTTAGACTTGACTTCAGTAACACCGTTGTGTGTTAACTTYTGTGGAAYTGAATGGACTGCACATGACTGCAGRAARCCACAGACAGCACTCAGGAGAGGATGACTGCTGCAACACCAAAATGTGTTACCAAGAAGAAAATAATTGCTCCTTTATTTTTGCCTAATCACCTCACTGAAAGGGATTAGAGTTAAAAAATTATGATGGCAAAGAGCTAGTCAGCAGAATCTGCTGGCTGCTAAATATCAACATCCACCAAAAATAGCTCAGTAAGAGCTTGACAGGAAAGTCACTGAAGTCTTGGAAAAGATTCCATGAACTTAGGTATGAAGGGAGTTGGACCTTACAAGATTATACATTGACATCCATATATTCAGTGCTGCTGTAGATCTCTGGGTTCCTAAGTATATYTGTATTTGTTCTGTGCTAAGTCTATCTTTATTTTGTAGTTTGTATCACTAAAATTTGGAAATGTCCTATTTCCATAATGTGGCAGAGCAGTGCTGACAGTCACATGTAGGAGTTTCCCCTTCCATCTTTCACCCTTTATTGCAAATCCAGAAAACATTCTGATCGTGCCTCGGCCAGGTCTGTGTTTGGAAATGGGCACTGTCAGTCAGAAGCTGTTCCACTGCCTTGRAAGTAGCCAAGTTCCTTTCTGCACTGGTTTCTGCTGTTCTCCATTAATTGTTCTCCTTGTCTAARCTGTGTTTTTCCCAAATGAACATTCCCAGGGTGAGCCCTACCTGAACACAGCCTACGGCCACGTCATCTGCTACTGGGACGGCTCTGCTCACTACCTGATGTACCTGCTGATGGTGGCAGCCATCGCCTGGGAGTGAGTCTGCTCAGTTCTGGGCTCTGCTGTGCCTGCTCTCACTGAATCCACAAAGGCTGCTTTGCCAGCAGCATTCAGGCTTTTCYTTCGGGGTGCTTCCATGTCCTAGGCCAAAGCAATTGGCTTTACTTTCAGGGGTTCTCAGTTCCCCTTTCTCTCAGGGGACTGAGCCCAGCAAATGCACGGAGATGAGAACTGACTTCACCCTGCAGCAGTGTAACACATCTGCATGGCTTTGTGTTAGCTGAAAGCTGAAAGAGGATGAGCATTAAAAGCATGTGTGAAAAAAAATTGGTTTTCAAATAAAAAATTTATAATAGGAATAATACATTGCTTAGCACCATGATGATCTCTCATCCCTGTTAGAGAGTGTCACGAAGTTCAAGGAAAAATGGTTATTCCTAGACATCCTTATGCTTCTTGCTGTTGAATAAAGAGTTTGAGAGAATAAGTGCCTTAATTCCAGAGGTAATTTACCTGCTGGTAATAGCCTTAACAGTATGAAATTAATTATTAATTCTTTTATGGTCTTGTGCAACCTGTGATGTGCAGACTCATGCAKTCAGCCTTCAGAGGACTGACACAAACATCAAATACCAAATACCAAATAACAAATACCAAATAACTGAGTGTGCCCAAAGCCTTTCTGCTGCTGTGAGAACCTCCTCCCAGTGTAGGATTGCTCAGTGACCCTCTCAGAGGCAACAATCTGCTCTGGCCTTGTGGTACAGCTTTTAAAAACCTCTGCTTACTGAAATACAACCACGGCAATGAGTTTAATATTTAGGGCAGGGAATTTTTAGAAACTGTTCAATAATTATGTCTTGTTTTCTTTTTCAAACAGACAAAGCTATAGAACCATTGGTCTCTACTGGCTGGGTTCCATTATCATGAGCATCATTGTCTTTATGCCTGGAAATATCGTGGGTAAGGAAGTATTTTATGTGACCAGCTTTATCCTGTGAAGCATTTTCTAAATTCAGCACTGTGCTATCTATATTTTGGTGCAGCGTTGGTTCATTGCTGTAATAATATGAAAGAGGAATTTTAGGAATATCAGTAAAGAGATGCAAGATATTCTAAAATTTAAATATGAAGAAGAAAAGATGGAGACTGGGGGGGGAAAACCCTTTAAATTTACTTTGCTTTCAAAGGGAAAAGAGAAAGTATTGTATTTATAAGGCTTTCATCTAAACCAGTTTAAATAATGAGACAACACTCTCTTACTATCATAAARATATAAACCTTACTTTGCATAAAATTTCCAATTTGCTCAGAAGTCTGACTTTCCAGCAGCTTACAAGAGGCACCCAAATCACCTTTAAAAGTAAAATCTGGACATTTATTCTGTTTTCAAACTAAATTTACCATTCCTAGATTTCTAATACAGATCTGTGCACAGTTGTGCTGTTGGAGGTGGGGATTGCAATGAAAACATTTACCTCATTGTTACTGGCAGGGGGTCCACTGAAGGTGGAACCTTTCTCAATTAAAGATTTCCTTTTTAGCTCAGCTAAACTGAGGCAAAGCTCAACTGAGGAAAGTGCTGATGTGCCCAGATCCTGCAGTCATCTTTAGGGAAGGCCCAAAGCTGTCCCATCCTAAGGATTACCCAATGCAGAGTGACAGAGGTGGATTCCCATCTTCYCCAGAAGTCCCTGACTCTGAAATGGCTCTGTCTCACAGGCTCTCCTTTCCCTGTGTCTTTACTTCTGCTGAGTGTGTGATTTTCCAAAAGATTTGTGTGTTAACAGTGATTTCTAATGTTTTATGTTTGTTTACATTACCATAGTTACTTCAGGTTTGATGTCTCATAGGACACTTTTGAATCCTTCTGCAGCACAAATTACAAATCCTCACAAATCCTGTAATAATTTTTTAACAGGCAAATATGGAACAAGAGTGTGTCCTGCTATTTTCCTAAGTGTACCCTACATCTGCCTCCCCATATGGGCTGGGTTCAGGATTTACAACCAACCCTCGGCGACTCACGACACTCCAGTCAAGGTAATTTCATAATTTTATAATTTTCTAATTTTCTAATTTTATAATTTTATTGTGTTTCAGAGCTGGCTGCTCTTAGGGAAGCTGAAATACTCTGACTGTTTCTGGGGGGTGTTATAAGTCCCTGGAGAGCAAGGAATGTGCTCTGACTGTTCACTCATATGACAATTGCTGTCGGGCTGTGAGGACTGCAAAAATGTCTGYACTGCAGGACTATTCCATTATGGTGCAATATAGAAAAGATCAGATTTAATAAAAACTTAAATTTAATATTCTGTTTCAAAAAGAGAGGTGAAAAGCAGGTGATCTTAAAACGTAACATTGCACTTCTTTGTGAATCCTTTCATTTTCTGAAAAAAGAGCCTTTAAAAGAAAATCAGAAAAAAAATTATTACGAAAGGCATGGGCCTGTATGTTGGCAATGGCCTTATTTTTGTTAAGCTGTAATTCAGATCTTGTAGTTCAAATCTTGTAGCTTACTCAGAAACTGTGCTTGCAACATTGGTTCTTCAGTTTCAGTAACTCTGTTGTGAGTCTCTTGATCCTGTGTGCTTTTAACTGTGCCCCTGCATCCTAATTTTTGTTTTGAACTTCGGAGACAATTCCACAAGTGTGGAACAGGAAGGAAATCAGGTTTTTCTTTTGCTGTCTGCATGCCAACAAACGGCCAATAAAAAGGAAGAGGAAATGAGTAACACATATACATGGGGAAGTTTTCCCTCTGAACTGCAGAACGATACTGTGATGTGTTTATGATTTTGTCTGTGATTACACAGTGCACAAAGTGCAGCTGACATGATTTCCATTGCTCTGGGTGGTTTTCCTGTGTGGTGGAGATGCCTTTGGTTCCCCCAGGCCCCTTTCCCTGGAGACTGAAATGTCCTTTGCTCCTGCAGAGTGTGAACCCCTCCCCTCTGTCCCTGCAGCTCTGSGGGATTCCTGTGCTGAGGGAAGGAGACACAAAATCAGAACCAAATGTTGGAGGTGCCTCAGTGCCCATCCAAGGAATTCACAGCTCAGGGAGAGAAAAAGGAAAGGTRGAGTTTCCACGTACTCAATATCCACACATTTCATTCTCTATTTCTGCAGTGCATTCTAAGATGCAATATTTGCTCACTGAACTCAGCAGAGGACTCAACCAGCCACAGAAAAGCTTTTATTTTATGCCAGTAATAGTCTATTAATTTTAATAGTGTCACAAGCTGCTGAAAACCAGCATTCAAGAATGAGATGGACCAAGTCCTTTTACAAAGCACACTAGATTCAACTTCAAATGTGTGAGACAAACCTGCATTTCCAAGGCTTTTCTATGCAGGGACATTCAGGAAAACAAATTATTTCCAATTGTGAAAAGACAATTTTGAAGAAGTTATGCTGCTTTAAAGCCTTAGGTGATTGCAGAGTTAGTGTTCATTTGATTTAGGTTGCTTTGAAATGACACGAATCTGTATTGAAATGGTTTCAGTTGGATCTGTCCATTCCTAGAGTTTATTCAGGTTTTCCTCACTACAGGCTGAAGTCCCCTTTTAGATGGAGCWGTTTCTGTCTCTGAAGTCAGATGTGATGGATGTTTCTAAACACGCTCTGTGTTGCAGGTGGTTCAGGAGGTCCAGAAGAAAGGACTCTTGAGACGACCAATGGATTTAATGTTGGCTGCATACCTCATTCTAGCCACGGGGTTTTGCATATTTAGGGGCATGGTAAGTGAACATATTTTAATAATTTAATCTGATTTTCAGTCCAACTGTTACATTTGAGTCTGTATGAAAAACTATGTATGTTGTGGTCAGAGGAAATCCTGTATTCATGTTTTTCTAAGCTGAAATGCATAATTAAAATTATATGCAAATCCAAGTTAACTTACACTGCATGGGATAGAGGACATTTCCACCTAAAAGGAAAGAAAAATTATCCACATTACCTGAACAACATGTGTTGTTTCTACTTACCAAGAGACAATTTTTTAAAATGSTTGCTCTCTAAGCATAGTTGATTGAATTAAAATTTCTGAGGGAAGGAAGTAGTACTGAAAATGTTTTCAGGAGTAAATCCAGTAGCAGGTAAATCTATTCCCTTGTCAGCTCCAATGCATTTTCTGTCTTAAGCAGAATGAAACTCGTGTATCATTCAGTGAACACAAATGTTTAGGCATCTCAGACAWCTGCCTGCTGGATTTGTGGATTTGATCCTTTCTAGAGCAATTCAAGTAGGAGGTGATGAAAAATACCCAAGCAACATTTTATTTACCCAGTGTGGATTGTCCTTTTGTAGCTGTGCTACTCACATTCCTCTCTCATCTCCCGTTTCTCTTAAAACTTGCCTGAGAAACATTTTGTTCTTATAATTTCTGAGACTGCTTTATTTGTTATAGATCACATTACATCAGAGCACCACGGATACAGRTTAAATCATCTGGTTCACCTGTAGTGTCACTGTGGAAAATGTTGGTCTCATGGTCTAACTTGGTTCTGCAGTCTCACTTCGTTTCTCAGGATTTTTTTTTTTGTTAATTTTGAGACTGTGGCAATTTCCTTATCAAACAGGAACTGCTTACTRGCCTTGCTTATGAGATCAACTGAACATCTCTGTGCAAGCTGCAGGAACCACAATTTTGTAAAAAAGCTCAGAAAACATAATCCATTCTAGTCCAGCCAGACCTGCTTTCTTGGATGCCCATGTTGGAAAAGAGCAGGGAGGAATATTGACTGTAAAGTTTTGCATTGCCCCTCAGAGTCACACAAATGCACATGAAATCATTTGGGTTGTGCAGAATTTACTCTCAGCCCTGTGGCTCAGTTAAAGATGCCACAAACCACCTGAGTGACAGCTGCTCACACGGATTGCTAGCTCAATTTAGAGCAGGACTTCTTGTAGTTTGTAGTCTACTTTTGTAGACTTCTTTCTTCTTTTTGTAAWCAGTTTTAAGAGTTACCATGAAAAGGAACTACTTTTGCAATCTCTCCATGTTTATTTGGAACTTGTTTTTTCTACAGGAATGTAAAATCYAATGATCTCTCCTTTGCTACTCTCAAAAGTGATTCCTTTATTTAACACCTGTCTCACTCATTGTTCTCCACCACTACCTTGTCCCAGTGCAGATCTTCTCTTGGACAACATCCACAGCTTGCTATCCTAAAACTGGGTACTTATCCTGAGGTTTCCATTCTTAGAGCAATTTTCCATTGGAAAGTTCATTTGGTGGGATTAAAGGCTGCTTATCAGAGCAAATCAATASCAATTATACTTTTACTACAGCACAGCCAATGGACCAAATTGTGTTCCAGTCAGAATCTCCAAAGCAGTGCCAGCCTTTCCTCCCAAACCCACTGAGCAGGAGCTGGGAGGAGGCTGCATTTCACCCTTGAATTGATCACACAATCCCCTTTGCAGGCTCCAGGGTGGCTGTGCTGCAGACCCTGAGTGCAGCTTTAGGGCTGGGAACGTGCTGGGTCAGTTGGGATCAGATCAAACTGTTCACTGCAGTTTTAAAACCTCTTCTCAGATTGCCCTGGACTGCCCTGCCGAGCTGTGCCGGCTGTACACCCAACTGCACGAGCCCTACATCAAAGATCCTGCTGCCTACCCCAAGCTGCAGGTAAAGCATCACCATGGGCTGCTGTGGTAAAAGGGAAAACAGCCTYTCAGTATGAATTATGGATTAGGAAGGGGTGTAACAGGACTGGATTCCTTAGGCTCACACTGCCCTTCTGTCCCCAGTGATGCACTCTGGAAATAGGGCACTTCACACAAAAAGCACTGCAGATGAGGGAACGCTGTGCTTTGGTGCAGCAGCATTTGGGGCTGACACTCTCTTACAAGCCTGGCTCTGCTCAGGGACAGTCAGAGGGCACAGGSAGGAGGAAATGAGCAGMATCCAAATCTCTGCTGGAGAGTCCTTTCTGGGAAAGAGGGGACAGGCCCAAGGCAGTCAGAGGGCACAGGGAGGAGGAAACGAGCAGAATCCAAATCTCTCTGGATGAGTCCTTTCTGGAAAGCTGTGTCTCACAGCTCCTGAGAGTGCAGGGGAGCTGGAGAAAGGGACTCTGCTGTTGTGTGGASATGGAGTTAAGTCAAGCCATGCTTTTTGGCACGGTCCCAAGATAGTGAGGGGCAGGAATCCATGTCCTGGCATGAGGTGGGTATGGATGGGGCAAGGCCACCAACATGAGGAGATGCCTTGGGGGTAGYGGCATCCAGTCAACTGCATCCAGGTGTGACAAAAAGCCTGAGAACCATTGCAGCAGGGAGTGTAGTTTGGAGTTCTCCRTGCTCAGTAAGCAGCTGACATTCTGAAGTCAGTGCAGAGCAGTGTTTGTGTTTGACATGCAGATGTTGGCGTACATGTTCTACTCAGTGCCCTACTACGTGGTTGCTCTGTATGGCCTGCTGGTGCCTGGCTGCTCCTGGATGCCCGATCTAACCCTCATACATGCTGGAGGACTGGCTCAGGTATTTCACTGCCAAATGTTCACTTTGAAATACACAATAATAACTGGAGACCTGTGGAATCCACAGGGGCCCAGGGCTTGATTTCCCATGCAGGTTTTGTGCTGATGTAACTCAGGTCACCTTTTGAATTACAAGAAACACTTCAGGGAGCGCAGAATCAAATCTGTGTCTCTAATGACTACATTCTTGCTTTAGCAGACTTCTCTCCTTCTGCACAATGTTTTTGTTGGGCTCATTTAAACCTTATTAAGCACCATGCACTCTTTAGCCGGGATCATGAAGAAAACCCATCTTAAAGCTGTGACTTTAATCAATCATAAAAACAAACCCAAAAGCCAAACACAACAMAACAGCACAATACATTGTTTCCATAATATGTGTTGGCCAGGTAGGCAGTYTGGAATATATAAATGGAAAAAGTACCCACTTGTCACACCAAATGTGCAGTGTCAGTGGCTGATGTTGACAGAACTCTGGGAACCTCCYGGGCCACAAACCAGTCACAGCCAAAGGCAGACCAATGATCATATTTCCTTTACTCACTCTGGTCTGGTTCTCTTAMATAAACAGCTTTCATTAATTACTAAATGGTGCTGATGCTTATGAGAAGACTGACCAAAACAAAACAATTCAACAGGAACTAGTAAATGACTTCTGACAGGCAGATGACCATCAAACAGACGAGACACAGCRACAGTTGGATTGTTCTGTGCACAGGAAATGAAATGTGTGTGCTCAGAACATCCAGACAAAGCAGAAAATAAACACAGAACCCTGCCACAATGGTGACAACACAGGGAACAGCRATAAATAGCTCTGTGAGGCAAACACAAACCAACACTGCTCCTCAGGTCTGGGATAATCACAAACTACAATCCACTTTAACTGCCCAATGAGGACGGTGTGGTGACATTTTCTATTTGGGAGCAGTTGCCACACACAATAGCACTTCTTTTTTCTTCTCTATCAGTTTATAGAGAATATTAAACTACCAAGTGATATCAAAACAGAACCTGCCAAAATGAATGAGGAAGTTTAGATGACTGAAGGGTATCATAAATACTATTCTCCTGTGTTTGGTCTAAATGCAATTTAAAAAAAAAAAAAAAAGCACAAGCTAGCTCAGTAGGCAAGGAGRTGTTGGGAACTTTCCTCCACCGACAGATGACTCAGGTTTCATGAACTGCCCAGACAATCASAAAAGAAACCACTCCTTCAAAGATTTTCTTAAGGAAAAGTAAATCAGAAGGGAGAATGTGCTGACTATCACAACCTTGCAAACTTACCAGAAAGCTCGGCCTCCCAGGCTGGAGGTGATTTTTTTTTTTTGATTTAGGCATTTCTTTTCCCCCTTTTAGATGTTTCCTGTAACAAATACTCACTTTTTAACAGCCCTTTGTACCTTTTAGACGTGTGAATGCTACACTTTGTTGCTGAAGTCTAAAGCCCCTCTGTTTTCTTTGTGGTTTGGGCTCAGGATGTCAATTTACACATTAGACTAACACTCAACATTTCCCATTTCATTCTTTAAAACTCGCCCTGGCACCAGCAAAAAGTGTGGGCTGACAGAAACTGATTAAGGGAACTGCATGTTGCTGGGCACTCTCCATATTTTATCTTGCTTCAAAAAAACATTTCTTGACATTTGACAGGGTTTTTTTGCCATTTTTACTTTCATGCACTGCAGGATGATCTTCAGTCATCCTGGAAGTGAACATGATTTAATTGATTTGACTCGGTAAACTGTGAGCAACCTGGGATGTAAAATGCACGTGACAATGAASTGAGGATTGCTTTTAGATTATTTGGGGATGTYGTCATTTTGAGGCACAAAACACATYTACAAGTTTGTCTRCTGTTATCTTAAGTTAAAATACTATCTGATAATTAAACATACGTAGTTACTGAAACACATTTGGCTTCCTCTCCCACTCAAAGGTCCACCAAAGGTGTCTGACAGTGAAAGCAGTGGCACTGCTCCCTGGGAATGAACACTGCTCCTGCAGATGGGAACATGGAGAYTTTCATTTTTATTTCTATCATTATGAAGTACTTTTTACAAAAACAAGTCACAAAATACCATGTGATGCATCTAAACTAAGAACCTCTAAAGTGCCTACTAGCCTTTCACACAGACACACATTTACTGTTATTCAGAATTACATGTTGTTCTCAGCTTCAACGACTCCATTACTAACATTCAGACTCCAAAACCAGTTGTGACCCAGTAGTTATTAGACTTTCTGAAGCTTCAGGAGGAGCTCTTGGAATTTCCTATGAGTGAAGTATCAGGAGCTTTGATTATACATAAATTGGAACAGCCTCTGAACTTGAGGAAATTGCTATTTCCCTGTGCCAGTGAGCCATGTGAGAAGGACAAAGAGCCCAGCCTTGCTAGCCAAAATCATTGTGTCTCACAATGCAGCCCGTTTCTCTGTTTTCTCAAACACARAAAGTTCTCCTCTATTCCCTCTTCGTGTTTTCCATAGCTCTGCCATTTTTGGTGGCTGCTTTCTGCAGTGCTTCTTGTCCACCAGAGACCCCAAACCCAAGGGACGTATTTTTCCAGGTTACTCTCTCCCCACTCTATTTGCTGGTTTTGCTAGTCCCAACCCTTCTGCAGTTATAGTCTTGGCCTGATTTTAGTCAGTYGTAGAGAGAAGGCACAGAGTGAAGAAGGACTCAGACTTTCTCTGGGTSCTTCTCTGTCCTTAGCTGCAGGCCTTTCTTGACTGCAGGGTAAGAAATATTTGTAATACTACCTGTGATTAGGCAACAAGGCAAAAGACATGGTTMAGGGTCCAAGTGAAATGACTCCAGAGAGAGCAGCAGGTTGATGAGAGGCAGGCACAGCCCCAGTGAGCTGCCAGGCTGGGCAGTGCCACCCCMGTGCCAGCTGAATGCCCCAGGAGCAGAGGGACCAAGGCTCCAGGGGAGAGGAAAAAAAAAAAGCAGCAGCAGAGAACAGTCATGGAAAAGAAACACACAAGATTAAAGACATAACACAATTTTCACAGAGGCAAATCAAATAAATTAAGAAAAAAAAAAAAGTGACTTTACAGACTTAAATATCCTCCCTGGTAATGAAGGGAGGAAGCCATGTGTTACACTGAAAAACAAGTCTAATAAACAGTAACTTCATTATATGGTGCRTCATTAGCTACTAAAAATCTTTGTAGGCTACAGACAGGACATCGTGTTACTGCTTTTTGGTTTTACAACAATTAAAGCTCATTAATGTGCCACAACTTTAGCAAGAGACAAGATCACACAGTAAGGCTTAGACTCAGGCATTTGGAGGCTCTGGGAGCTCTGGTTCTCTCAGAAGCATCCCCTTCCAGCCCCTTCTGTCAAGGTTTACTCTGAATTACGAGGAATTTACAATCACCTTACTACAGTGCAGAATGGCCCCTGGTAGACAGGCAGCCCTCCCAACCCTGCAGAGAAGGAGCAGCTCAGCACTGGTCAGGCTCTCAGGAGGCTCTCAGTGAACATGAGCCAGCCCAGC